TTTAAAGGCAACTGGAGGGCATCAAGGATTGAAGCTGACGCGGTTTTGAGTTTACAACTTGGCGTGAAACTGCGCGATTACTACAGGCCGTCAGTTGTAAAGGCAACATCACGAGCTTGTAGCAGAAGCATAATGCAGCTCGAAGAACAAGCAAGAGGCAACGACACACGAAGACCACAAAAATATGCGACAGGTACTTACGAAGCCGTGTTTATCCGATATGTTATTGGTGAGTTTGAGTTTGTGGAAAGAACACACTTTTTGCATCCATTGGTCACCAGTGGCTGGCGAATCAGGGTGAATGTACATACGCTTGGGCATCTCGGGGTCGGCCTTGCCGGCAACGATCCAGCGCGAGTTATGAAACTTGTAACGACAGTCGTCCGCCGGCACGATGTCCATCAGCAAGATGTACTTGGCCCGTTTTTCAAGACCACTGATGCGCACTTTGAACGGCGGAAACATGCGTCTAAAACGAATACTCGTTTAACACGACAACCCGTCGTCTGCGCCGCCGCTCAAGCCGCCGCCGCTGCCGCCACGGCCGTCAGTACACAGTCTGTTGTTGATGCCAAAAAAATGAGGAAACACCAGAGGTGCTGGAACTCTTTCGACAAAGACTCACACTGAATATGCGCCAACGCACTCTCACTCTTTCCTGCACTCACTGTCAGGAAGGTTAGCGACAGGCAGTGACAAATCCAAGTGTTGTACTCTACGTAAGTCGCAAAGTCGCACAACCACAGAATTCCCCTGATCCGTAAGTGCATGTTAGTCAGTATGTAGGTGGAAGGAATTGCAGTGTGTGCGTTCAACAATGCAATCAATTTCATTATTAGAAAATCGAAATAATCCAAGATTACTGTCTGAGGGTCATCTAGGTTTGCCAACGCGTCTGCATAGTAGTGTCGTTGAAGCAGTCGCTAGTGGCGAGTGGCGCCTGAATCATTGTGGTGGGCGTGGGGGTGCTAGAAGCCTACAGTCGGCATTTCGACTGATAAAAAACATGCGCACACCAATGGCACAAATTAGCGAGTCAATGACGATTTACCTGCCGCTCTTGGTGATCACCATTTCCGTGCCGAGCACGTGGAACTGTTCCCACAATTCACGACCCTCTAATTCCACTTTTGGGTCGTCGATCACTCCATCGTCATCTGGCAGCATTGGCATCTGAGGCGGTGGACCCATCGTCGAGCATCCGTGAGGTCCTGCCAGCAGATCTTCAGCTGATAAAGTTCCAGGCAGGTGTGGCATAAACGAAGTTGCAGGCGCCACACTGCCCCCAGGCGGTCCAAGATACGGGAAAGCGCCAGAGGGCAGATACCGATTGGCGGTCGCCGCAGCTGCCGCTGCGGACAGGAAAGAGCCGATGGACAGGTCAGGTCGGCCAAGCAGGAATGGGTTAAAGGTATTCATGCTCGTGGCGAAGGTGTCCATCATGTGCCGTGCCGGTCATCACACAACATTACGGTAGCGAGCACGAACGAAGAACAAGTTACAGCGGCGGCAAGAAGCTCACGAAAACACTCTTGCTTTAAAGAGCTGCTGAATTTGACACCTAGAAAGACGTATTTGTTTCGGGCTGCAACAATCTCCCCGCGTTAGTTGTCAACCGATACACCATTGGTGTGTCAATCTAGCACCCCAAGCAGTGACCAATAGGCTTGAGAGAAGGTGTGGTTTGTGCTGTTGCATAAAATTAATGATTGGTTGGCGGGAGTCCACGGCGCTCTACATATGGCTACCCTTCTGGCGACTGCTGACAGAACGCTGCCGTAGTGTTGGAACTGGACCGGTTGTTCATTGGATTCGCAAAATAGCCATGTGATGTACGGTGGTCAGCAGAACT